TCGCAAGAAATAGTTGCTTAGCCTTCGTTTCTGGACGCATTCGCAACACATGACCAAACTTCTTGTTGGTCTCTTCTTTTGTAATTCTAAGTGGAGGGTTGGAATGGCATGTTGCCCTAAATTCATTGGCTAATATAACTTATTTTCTTTGTCGGTTCTCCAAGCATCTGTGCTTTAAACTAAGATCTGTTGCTTTATTTAATTTTTATTGAATGTTTATGTTTAAGTTGATATCTTCCAACTTTGGCACTGGTCTTCGCCAAGTGTAGGTTTTTCCATTTCCTATTTGTGTTTTACATAGATAGAATTGTTAGATACAACCACAATGACAGACCTGAGCTGTTGCATCCCGCAAGTTGATCGTTGCCCGCAGTCAGTGAAAAAAATGCTGAGGTTGTTTATGGAGACCATTTTTTGCTAAATCTGCTGAGGAACATTTGAAGCATTGCTTTGTCAAATAGAAGTAAATTTTCTTACAGAAGTACCGTAGCTACTAACAAAAGATAGTATTACTGATGCCAGAAACTGGAAGGAAGAATGAGTTATTGGATTTTCGTTACCGTCTGCCAGGTTGATGATTTGGCTGTAGATGAGTACCATTGTATTACTCATCCCGCAGAAAATTATGATCTATCATTATAGAAACCATTAGTCAAAGTAACGTGCCCTAACGACTCTTTTCTACCGCTTATGAACAAGCGATGGCTTCGTCTATAAGCCAGATTTTTCTTGTAAGCTTTCAATGTTAGGGACATCAATAAATGCTGATAAACGGAAGGGATACCTTAATTAGAGTGCAATCGTGCTGCAAGTGAACGATCTCACATGTTCCTGCATGAAGCATATTTTCTCGCCATTTAACTTTCACCCACGTCGTGGTACTCGTTTGTTACATTGACAGTTAAAAACCAAATGAAACATCCGGGACCCATCGATGCTGTACTGAGGGAATTAAATTAACGTCGTGCAGCTGTTCAAGAAGATACCTTCAGTTCACACTTTAGAGGCCAGGCAACGATCAGTATCGTTTACTAAGAGAAAGGAAAATGAGTGCCCTTGCTTCTCTATTGCCCATGTTGCCATGGAGACATGTCGTGAACTCGGTAGGATTGGCTAACTACGCAGGGCTAATGAACGCCAATGAATCTTGTCACACGTTCAAGGTGAATCAGCCTAAGAGACATGTGCTCTGTTTACAAGCCTGAAGAGAAAGACTGAGAAATATCACTCATAACCAACGATTGCCATCGCGCCTGTTCTCGAGAATGAAGATGTTACCAAGTAGAAATTTTAATTTTTATATTTTTGAACAGTGTCAGTTACATTTGCACAGATTTATTACTATGACTGAAGCGGATGCATAATCTAAGGCTAGTGAAGATCCCAGCGACCCAACGTCCACTTAACAAAGTCTGTGATCTTCAGTAATTGTTTCGCATTTTTTCTCACTCTTTGGTAGATTGCTGTTGCTACCAAAGGTGTTACTTCATCTTCTTCAGGGAATCCTGCTCACGTAAAACTATCGATTTTGATTTTTTTAGCGGTAGTGTACAGAATCAAACAATTTTTCTTAACTTTTATTGTATTATTTAGTAGTCCTTCGTTATAACAGTGTGGCAAGTTTTGACTATTGTGTGTATTTATCGATTTTATGTGTATTGTGAGGCAGATTCCTTTCACTATCTCATTGCTGTTCTTCCCAAAGTATCAGCATGAAATTAAATAGCCATTTTTTGCAATCATTGAACAATCAGAAACTAGAAGTTTGTGAACGAGCGAGAAGGAAAGGAAATGAAAGAATGTAGCTGTTGGATTGTCGGTATTTTTGGCCTACTGTAATGAGCATCAGTTTTGAACCACGCTTTTATGAAACTTGCCATGAGGCGTTCGTTTCCTTTTCGATGGGATGAGCTGGTAATTTTTTCTTTCTAAACGTAATGTTAATAATTGAACGCGTAGTTTTCTGCTGCTTTCTTACCAAAGGTCCTGATATGTGAATTACTCGATAGTTTTCGAACCCAAAAGCATTTGGTACAAAAACATGAGCAGGGCACACCAGAACCGAATAAGGATGTTATAACTGATACAAAATTACTACTAACGTACACTGTGTTAAGACGAGTTATACCGAGAATGGTCTATTCTTCTGGATGAAATGTGGACAGTAGAATAAAGACTTTAGCATTTACCATACCTTTCATACTGTAATATAATATAAAATCATATGAGTTTTAAAAATTAAACTCATTTTACTTGCACCACTTGAACGGGTAACTAATCG